AAGTAATGTGCGTCTTCTCTCAGATAATTAATTAATTATTTGTAAGAGGGGCAGAGAGCAGAATTTGTGGCAAATTTGGGCACAGGAGTGAACTTGAAAAACAAGTTGAATAGGGCCGCAAGAAAAAATTTGAAATATCGCGGGTGGCGCTCTGGGAGAGTACGGCCCGGCCGTGAATTAATCCATTTAATTTATCAATGTGTTTATTCTTTCTTTAAGTGATGATTAAATGATAATTTATTCCTAAATGTTTAAATCATAATTTATTTCTAAATTTATTCCTAAATTTTATAAATGGTGATTTATTTATTCATCGGTTCTGTTGTGTCCGGTTAGATTTAGAAAAAGTAACAGTCGAGTACGGTTGGTATGAGCTTGAGCTTGAATTTGCTCTGGAGTTTGGAAAGGGGCTTGACCTTTGTTTCATGCTTCATCTTGGGACCCAAACCTCAAAGTTGATAGCTAGCTCAGTCTCAGACATTTCTGTTTGGATTATCCCTCCTTTTACTAGTCCTGACTTTACTTGGTTGGATTTAACCGGAAACTTGGAGAACTTTCTTAACTTATAGTATCCTGTTTGCTTTACTTGTAGTTAATCGTTTCTGATACAACTGCATGTTTTTAGGTCATTCCAATGGTGGTGAATGTGTATGCAACGTCGGCAACAGTCGAACAGTGTTCGCGAAATGAGCTTTTAGCATTCGTCAATAATTTTTTGCGGGTATGACAATTTTGAACTTTTTGATTTAAACAAGGAGACGAAACAAGCCCATATTTAGATGATGAATCATCTGAATTATCAACAGCTTAGTGCGCAGCAGCACCGGATTGATTTAGAGGGCTTAACGGCTGATAATCTTTCTTCGGCAAATGAATAACGATATCAGCATGAAACAGTGTGACCATTAGGAGATGTACTATCCTGAAGAATCAGATGTTTCTGCTGTTTCTCTGTTGATGAATGAGATGTTTGAGGATGGAAGATCTAATATTAAATCATAAAGCTACTTGTTCACGCAAGCATGTGCTGAACTCATAAGAACTTAACTGGAAGTTTATGAAATTGCACGTAAAGGAAGAATTTCGGAAGAAGTACCAAATCTGCAACTTTCAAAGAGATTTACCTACCTGTATCCTTAGAATTGCATTCTGTTTGTATGGTCGATTGTCCTCAAATTCTCACTTTCCTTTTTTTGCAGGCGAATTTTACACGTATTGAGGAGATGTCCTCAGGTGCTGCTTACTGTCAACTAACAGAATTGCTTTTCCCGGGCAAAATCTCTTTGAAAAAAGTGAAATGGAATTCACGAAATGAAGTAGATTGGATCGGCAATTGGCGCTTGCTGCAAACAGCCTGGAAGGACCTGGGAGTAAAGAAAGTAAGTGTAAATTCAATATTTTTCTTTTTTTCGCCAGTCATTTTTTCGGCCATTTTTTTTCGCCAGTCATAATACTAATGTGTTATATACATAATACTAATACATAATATTAATGATAATACGAATACTAATGTGTCAGTCCCCTAGAGGCTAATAGCGTAATTGCTCGAATCACAACATTATTTTCATTTTTTGGTTGATTTATGCGTCATTAGTCCTTTCTTCTCTGCGTTTAATTATCCTTTTTCGAAAGTTCTTGAACTTAGTGTCTGCGAATTATATAAGAGTAGTTGTCAGCATAATATTTTTAATACAGAGGAATGGAGCGAAAGAAACTAACTAATAGAATGGGTAAGAAAAAAAGAAATGAAGAAAAGTAAAAGGATGATTCACCACCAACATTCCACTTGACCTCCTGTATGGTCTACTAAGCACGTTAATAAGATTTTAAGATCTTATTACTTGGATCTTATGCCCAAGTAAGATATAGGAGTTGACTAGACGACGTTCGTAATTCATCCGTGCTTTGATATTATTGAATTCGAATGAAGTGATAGGGACATTCTCTTAATTCATTTGTTATATTGTTTACTTTTCAACATTCTTTATGTTTCAGCTTTTTTGATTTTTTTTTACAACAGCGGAAACTTCTATTTAATTACTGGGTTATCTAAGAAAAGAGTACACGTATATACCTTGATCTGTTGGGTTGTTATCTCATTATCTCTCAGGATATCAGAAAGCTTAGTGAGTTCAGGGAGTGCCAGTGGAACGTTTACTGCGGTCCAAATTCCAGGACAATTTCGAATTCTTGCAGTGGTTTAAGAAATTTTTTGATGCAAATTATGACGGTCATCAGTACGATGCACTACAGGCTAGAAACGGCGAAGTTTGTTATTTTGTTTTCTCTTTGATTTACTTTTTCTATATTTCCAAGGCTGCTATTATGAATATTGGTCCCTATATGCATAGTTGTAGTTGGTTTTCATAATCTTGCTATATATATTTATGGATGTTATGTTTTCAGCCACTTCCCGCAAGTTGGACATTATCATCCAGATCGGTACCATCAAAATCCTTTGTGATTGCCAAAAATAATTCTTTCATCACATCAGCGAAAAGTGAGAATTTAATTTGTCACATTTTGAATTTAGGAATACTGATTTTTCGGGTTGTTGTGCAGGTTTTCATATATTTCCTATCTTTTTTGTATGAAATATCGTTGTATGAAAATTCAGTGAATCTTTTCAGAAAATCCATTTAGTGCTGGTCGAATCACTGAAGCTGGGAAAAGTTCCGTTCCAAATACCGCAACTTTGCAGCGTAAGCACGAGCTCATGGTAAGTTTTGCCGATTTTACTGATTTACTTATTTTACCTAGTTAATAACTAAAAATGAAATACTCTGGGTCGCCAGTGTAACTGTAAAACAAACCTCCTGCGTTTTACTTAGTTCTGCTAAAAGAAATTTACGATGCATGGTGTCAGACCTTTCTCGTGTTCTACAGTTACGTGTTTTGTTTGTAAACTTTGTAATTTTGATCCTGCCAAAAGTTTTAGTCCTCTTTACGACAGGTCTTTTCAGATTCAAGAATTAAAAGCAAATGTAGTAGAACTTACCAAGCAAAGAAACTTCTATTACGATAAGCTGCGAAAAGTGGAAATGCTTTGCCAGGAAGCGGAAGGTAGCCCTACCGTTTCGCGAGACGAAATCTTGGTAATTTTATATGAGATTGAGGTAATCACTTTTTTTGACCTTCATTTACGATTTAATACAATTTCTTCTTAAGTTCGAAGTGCCTAAG